AATGATTGGTGGGAGGGGCCGGACTCTAGGACTAGGCATGTCAAATATTGCTTAAAGGGCATACATTAAGAATTTACTGTCAATGCATTTAACCATCATAATTATCGTAAATAACTACACTCTCTAGTTAATTAGATTAACTTTTTCACACAACTGTTATTCCAGTCCCTATGAAAGTGGCTTGGTTGATTGTATTGGTATTTAGTGGCGTAGTCATAAGTATTCCAGTGCGGGAATGCTCGCCATCAAGTTTAACAAAACGTGGGTCATCTTAAAGTTTTTTGAAAAATTAGAGTAGGAACGTCGTTTTTCTGCGTCTTTGCCCCACTCCACCCCTGATAGTATTATTATAAAAAATTACGGTCTTAATCCGACGACCATTTATCAAGATATACACATTTATAAGACGTTTTGTTTTAACCATGATGTGCTAAGTTATCAACACTGTATATAGTTGATTGATATTGGAACATTTTACCACAATACCTCTGGGACTAGCAATATTCGTTTCGTCACATTTAGAGAACCGTAAAGTATTATCCTATGGATGCTTCGGCATATTGATACGTCCCTCTTAAAGAAATGTATTTTTTTATGTTCGAAACACAGATTACTGATACCATTTATTTAGGCTTGGGACTTCTTATATGCATCAACTTACTTCATTCACTTTGTACACCCAAAAAAATGTGTAACACTGAAGGCCAGCTACTCTGTGGTCACGATTTTGATGCCTTTTTGAGAGTAATTTAGTGTTTTAACTATGCTGTTCTAGTACCAGGCAAATTTTCAGAGGTAAGACATGAAAACAATAATTCCCACTGAATACGAGCCATTACTAGAAAATGTAGTAACGTGTATATCACAGTATAACGTCATTAGCTATATATGATATGTTCATAACAATTTAGCCTCCAATTCTAAGATATTATAAGGATAGTCAGATTTATCTTTGCTATTAAGATATTAACAATTTAATTGTATTCAAATAACTGCGCTGAAATTTCATAAATTGTATACAAAATATTGATTATATAGCAATTGTTCTTTACAACTGTAGGTTTCTTGTAGTGGAAAAACTACCAATATTTTCAGTTTTTTTCTTTCTTTTTCCAAGAAATCATTTTTAAAAAGTTACATTACTTAGTTATGAATTACTCTAAATAAATACATAGAGATGCTGTATCTGTATAAGTTTACGAACCTTAACAGGTTTTATAAATTTTACTGGTCAAGATTGCACTGGTAGTAGGACACACCAACAAAGTTTATCCCAGATGAAGAGATAAGATATGATTCTTTCCTCGTTTGAAAACCATCTGACTAGTTCCAAGTTTTACCATGATGTATAAGGAAAACTAAATATAATTTGGTATTTGTTGAACTAGCTAAATCCTAAGAAACAAAGTACAGTAACAAATTAAATAATAATTTGTTGCAATAACACATATATAACGGTATAGGTATTTTAACAATCCTTCAGCTTAGGTTTTTGTACCAAAACTCAAAATAATTTTAATTCCGGCAGTATACATTAATGAAACATAATTAGTTTTGACGAGATATTTCCGTCATGAAGGAAAACGGTATTGAAAATAAACCAAAACATATTTTTAATTATTTATATATAAGTAGGGGTTTATATAAATGTAAAAATCAATGATTTTTGCTTTTAAAGGTTGGTGGTATCTTGTAATCGCTTAACGACGCGTGGATGCAAGATAAGGTCGTGTACGGTGTCCGTGTGCGTTTTGACACAGGCTACAAATACCACAACAACACTGCAGTTTTAAATAAGTTAATCTCTTTATTCCTTTCACTATGTTGAAGAATGCGCCTTAATACTATAAAATCTAAATAGCCCCAGACACTATCGATTCTAAATAGTTAGAATGGTTGATCATTAGTCATTGTCAAGGTAAACTTTATGCAGCACATTGTGATTGAAAAGTACCGGAACGGTGTAATATAATTTTACCATTTATTTATTTATTCATTCATTTCATGTATTACATGATAACTAAAACTAAGAAATAACAAAATGTCTTACTATGACATTCTAGAAAAAGTTATGAGATTTAGTATACCATAATTGCTATTATCATTTACTCTTTTAAGCTATTACCCCTTTCTTATCCCGTAAGGGGGACGGCCCACGAGGAGGCAGACATAATTCCTTAACAGCAGCGTAGGTCGAGTTTGAAACCCTATTAGTTATTACAACACATTACTGAAAATCCGAACTCAAACGGAAAACCAAATAAAAAATTACCTTTCGACGACACAAAATGGCAGATTTAAAAAATATTTATACGGCTGTTATTTTTGACTCGGTTGTCCGTTTGAGTTCGGGTTTGTCGCAATGTTTTTTACCAAGTAAGACGTTCAATCCGATACTGATTTCGACATATGCTGTCAGTAACAGAGTTTTGTATGACTTCTTGTGGACCGTCCTTCATAGGGGATAAAAAATAACAATAGCATAAAAAAGTAGTTAATTATGTGTATTATTCATATACCAAGTCTCGTTACTTTACCTATGATGCTGAAAAATATATTTAACCGGGACTTTAAAAATACACTGTATATTCGTAGTATAGTAATGTGTTGAAAATAAGACGAACATTTTTTACATTACTTAAAACCAGTTAATAATAATTTAATTGTGGTCTAAAAGCACGGTGGGAAAGAAAAGACCTCATCCTTAAAACATTATTTAACACTTTCACTAGAAGTAAAAAAAAATATTGGTTGCAGAAAAGGGTGCGACTTAATTCCTTAATTAATAAATTTAGACTGTAATCTTAAATTTTAAGTATAGTCTATTTACACAAACTATAATTATGAAGTATATTAACGTGTAATACTTTGTTTGAAGTTCGAATAGTGATTATGTTTTTTTTTTTTTATATAAGAATCGGAAGTAAAGATAATTAGCTTTAATACAGAATATTTATAAAAATCTGTGTTAATACCTGCTTCTTGTAATCCAAAATGTAGCTGCTATGACGAAACTAGTTTCAACTTCTCACAAAGTCATCTTCGCAATTGGTGTAAATATTCAACGTAATCCGGAGGCTAACATCAACAATGAAAATATTTATGTATATATGTAGACTGTAGAGTGCATTGAAAAATTACTCATTTCACTTCTATGCAAGATAAACACTACTTCGCATTTATATTAAATGTGTTAGGCGCAATCAAATGTAGTTTAGGCTGCTTGCTAATCAAAGATTGGCAATGAATTAAAATGATTGGCCTAATGTCGTATAAGTGATTCTTGAATTATGGTAAAAATATATGCAAGGATAGGACAACGTCAACTCATAAGTACGACATAATTTAATCCACCTCAGAAAATAAATCTTGATATAGTGTTACTACAAAATATTATACTGTTAATGAAAAATAATGTTATACTTATATGCCAGTAGAACGTATGATTTTTGCAATCAGACAATTCTATCCTTGTAACAATTTTATTACCAAAGGATTCACAAAATAAAAATACCTATTGTTTGTCTGCAAAACTTTTTATCCGACACGATTGTTTAGCAGAAAGCAGGAGTCGATACATTAGTAGTTGACTTCAACACAAGCGATAATTCATTTGGTTAACAATGTATATATTTTATCACGTAAACATTGTCTCACTAGATATTTTACTTGAAATTCACATTATACTCACGCTAAAGAAGCCATTAAAAAGTAAGTTTGGTTTACTTTTGTAGTTTATAATGAAAAGGTAATTACGAAAGAATTGAATGGCGTAAAAATACGTATATTAAATTTACACTACGACTGTTAATTACTGTACAACTAATAGAAGCAATTCGAAGCCTTAAAGGTGCACAATATTTCCTCTTTAAATTGATTTACAAACGTCTAAAACTAGTGCATGCTGGATACGGAATCTGGAATTTCCCAACTTCGGATAGCATTGTATAATCCTGTTAAAGTTTATGTTCGTTCTCACCTGAGAACAGGATAAGATTCAAGAATTTAAAAAGTTTCGAATACTTTGTCTTGCATTATTCGTTATTGAGCTTTTCTGCAATAACCCCATAAACGAATTGGATTCACCGCACTACCAGAAATAAACGAAATAAATTTCATCAGTTTGAAGTATGATTGAAACAGGTGATTTCCTCAAGTCTCACTCTCAAAATGTTTGTAATGTTAATTAACCGTCCATCAATTTGCTTCATCTAAGGTTTAAACTACGGAAATGAATATCCATTGAACCAATAGTTTTACAGCATCCTCAAGATATGTTACACGTCGATGTTAAAACACAAACCACAGGTTTAAAAAATATTAATAACCATAGTATTATAGCCTACGTTGTTTTAAATTAGTAATTACGAATGACAAGTTCAAACTTCACAACTCACACTGTCCAGTTCCATATTCAATTACAGTAAGTTATATTGCAAAATGATTTAGTTAAAAATAATCTCCCTCCAGAATTGTATCGGCCAATTCAAATACGTTATCGGAACTTGTTCTATGACACTGTTTCCGATCTTGTTCCTGTATGGTGAATTGCTTGTTTCTGACTACCAAAAACTATTAAGCCAACAAATAGGAAAATTACTCAAAAATATATATTATTAATCTAACTAACTTACATGTGTATATCATTGGCCTTGAATACCCAACAGTCAGTGTTAAATAACCGTACTATTTTTTTACTGTTTCCTCATCTCATTCGGTAGCAAGAAAAAAAAAATGAATTAGGATGTCAAAAATATGTTTTATTTTAAGGTTTACTATACAATTACTTATTACAAGCTGGAAATAATAATCTTAAAGTACAATTTTGTTAAGAATTGTCTAGATTTAGATTTTACTTGATTATTTAGGGTCTAATTCCCCTCCACTTTCCTTGGTTATCAAACAATTGATACAGCTGTTTTGCAGAGATGTTGAGTCTCCAGTGGACTTTGGTACACCCCTCCCCCGCGTTACCCACCCCAACCCTTTATAAGCGGACCCCTCAGTCTAGAAGGACGTCAGTTCTAGTCTATCGCTTAGAGTGCCTCAGACTACTACAAGAAATACTAACCGATTGGTAAGTCATTTGCCATGCTTTTATGACTTAATATTGAAAAATAGGTTTTTTAAATAAAAACATTTTAGAGAATATTCAAAATTATTTTACATTTGAATTTCGAAGAATATTTAATCTTTTGAGACAAGAAATTTTAGATAATTTTTAAAATGTTATACACATTTTTAGTCACGCTTTTTAAATTGAAATATTTTTGCAATATGTTTAACTTTGACTATAAACGCTATACTTTTAAATAATTATACTTATTACCTACAGAAATTTTATTAATTAGAATTGTTATTATATTACTTGTTGTATTAGTCATAAATAAAAATATATTAAATCCTAATTTAGAACTTAGAATTTAGAATCAATGCAAAGGGATATATATCTATGTTAGGAGAAAACCATGGGCGAGCTTTATTTAGTCAATAGTAAAATCCGTCGAATAAGTAAATAACATGTAGACTCATCACACAAACATTTGATATTACTTTCTAGTAAAATGTTTGAAAAAAAAAATTATTGGGTTTAAATGAGCGAAAACTTATTTGTAAATTAATTTTTCTATTTACCTTTAATTTTGCCCATTATTATTATTTTCTTAAATTTTAACCCTCTATCCTTAACTAATATCGTTGTTAAAACAAAATATGTTATCACCCTAAAACAGTTATTAGTTGTTATTCTATTCTTCACGTTCAAATAATTTAAACTTGTCTAATATCTCATGAGCTTGTCATTATTACTGGGTATCTTACATTTGATACCTTAAAAGTAATTCAAAAACAATGTTCTTTCCTACATTAAAAATGAAGTAAGTTGAAGTAATTCCGACATTATAATTGAGTACTGTAAAAGTAATATTTTACCTTAGCTGACATAAATAAAAAGTAAGAGAAGGAAGGGAAGGAGACTATAAATGAAATCGTGAATTAACATAATATTTTATTAGTGACTTTTAAACAGATGTATGAAACACTTATCAAAAAAATCGGTAACTTATGCATTATGAATTTACCTATTCAAGTAGGCCTAATTCATTATTCATAATGTAATACCGGTAACTACTAGAAAATTATAAAGAATTGTATTATATACAGGGTGACAAAAAAGTCTGGAAACGGCTTGATATCTTTTTAACTAAATTCGTTAGAAAATTCAGACCTTTCACATCAACTTATATGTATGAAAACTACTTTTTGAAAGCATTATCGTTTTTGTACCTTCACCAGGGGACGGTCCATGAGGAGTAGGTACATAATCTTTAATGTAAGCGTAGGTTGATATGCACATCATTTTAAAGGTCTGGTCAAGTGGAGTTCATTGCCGGAAACCGCGTCAAAAAAGGTTCATTCATTACAAAATGGCGGCATTTCAAAGTTCTTGCGGAATATACCTGCACGGGCCTTAGTAATGGTAAATACTCATAGTCAAAATAAGCCGGGAAATCTGAAACCCGGTTAAATTTGTTTTGAAGATTGAATACATTTAGTCTATGAGCTAGTTGACTTTAAAATACAGTTTCAGCTCTCAAGATAATGTTTAATACGAGTATTTACCAATATTAAGGCCTGTAAAGGTATATTCCACAAGAACTTTGAAATGCCGCCATTTTGTAACGAATGAACCTTTTGAGATGCGGTTTCCGGCAATGAACTCCACTTGACCAGACCTTTAAAATGATGTGCATATCAACCTATGCTTACATTAAAGATTATGTACCTACTCCTCATGGGTCGTCCCCTGCTGGAGGTAAAAACATGAAAATGCTTCGAAAAAGTAGTTTTTATACATGTACGTTGATGTGAAAAGTTTGAATTTTCTAACGGATTTAGTTAAAAAGATATTAAGCCGTTTCCAGACTTTTTTGTCACCCTGTATAAAAAAAATAGTTATAAGAAGAATTATTTAATTGCTATGCTTTACCTGTACAATAAACATAATTTTTTTACGTATAGGTACTTTGCCAACTTAATTTCATTTTCAATTAAAAAATTTAAACATTATAGGCTGTTATATAAACATGATTGATAAAACCTATTTATCCAGTATATATCAAAATTAAATGCAAGCAAATTTAAAAACGGTCAAAAAAGGGATACAACCCATTAATTAAGATTAAACATAAATAATCAAACAAATTAAACATTTATTTAAAAAAAATTGAAACTTGGTTTTTTAAGAACTACACAAACAATTGTTAAATAGTGTTGTAAACAATTTAAACATTGTTTTAAAATTGTTAAAAAAACTAAGGATACAACAATTTGTTGTAAAATGGTTACAGCTTGTATTAAATCTTATTTTCCAAACTGCAAAATACTGATTGTTTAACAATTTTAAAATTGTTGTAAAATAATTACAACTTGTATTAAAACTTATTTTTTTAAACTAGAAACAAATTATTGCTAAAGAATTTTAAAATTTTAATAAAATAGTTACTACTTGTATTAAAACTTATTTTTTTAACAGAAAAAAACTGATTGTTAAACAATTTTAATTTTTTTTCGATCTTATATTAAAATTGTTGCAATATGAAGTTAAAATCAAAATGTTTTAAAATTGTTATACAACAATTGTAATACGACGTTTGACAATTTTAAAATTTGTTTTCTTATTGGGATATAATTACTATTAGTTTTTTAATGCCTTAGAAAACCTGAAGACTTGCGACTTACTATTTGCATGGTTGGATTTTCACCATCATAGCCCATTTCCTATAGATTTTACGATTTATTGCTTATTTAAATAATGTTAGGTTCAGGAGTACTTATGTTTAATGCTAAAATATAAGTAAAAAAGTGTGTGTGTTTTGTGGTAAATGTTAATAGCTTATGAAGTGTTATTACATTTACCAAATCAAATCAAAGTATACCCATGGATAAGTAATTTATTATATGAGTTGATTTATTCTCCATTAGAATAACATAGCGTTTCAATGTACAGTTTTTTTTTATTCTAACAATAACTATTAGTTGCTTACTTAGCTTTAGTATACCTAATTTTTCTAAGCTTTACAAAACGGATTGGAAATAGATTGCTCAATATAATGCTTCAAAAGTTAATAATCCAAATTCACCACGAAAAGAATCCATTTTCTAGTCTTATCATACTAGTTGGCAATCTTGTTTTAATAACGTAGAGTAATTCGTTTGTAAAAAATTAGATACAACTTAATTACTTGAACTCCAGTTATCGTGCTACACTCAAACACACACGCTCATACTCACACACGCATGTAAATACACAGACACCACTTCAAATACCACTTTAAAAAGTAATATATCCCGTTAGATATATTTAAAGTCAATGAATTAGCAGTTATTTTATTAATTTTGTTTAATAGTTATTCATTTCAACCTCCAAAGCTAAAACGGAATGTCACCAAAATACAATAGGCTATTATTCTATACTTTACTGTAATAAAACTTAAGTGATTTTTAACAACCTCAGTTAAAAGTCTTTTGAATTTGCTGGAAATTAGCCCATAGTTATTTGGACTTTGCATTAATTTATTACAAACAAACAATACTTCAGGGACAAAAATATTGCAAATAATACTAAATTACTTCCGCAATAAACAAATTATTAAAAATAAATTGCCAATAGCTCTTATTTTTGTATAGTATTTCAAATAGTTTTACAACATAAATAAATTTAAATGTCCACACACAGTTACAATAAACTATAGTTTTTAAATTGTTCATATAACTATCAAAACTACAAATTTAGTTATAAGCTGGATGTTTTGTATTTTTTGGATAGTAGCACAAACAAGGGAGACAATTAAGTAAATAATTATAATAAATAAAAATATTAATTATTGAAACTATAGTCCTAATAAATTCGTTTAATTCTATAGTAGTAAGTGCAAATCAAATTAAAACTCATTCGAATCATTACTTTTAAAAGAAAAAAATAAAGCATTAGTTTGAAAATGTCTAAAAAAGTTTGTGTTTGCCAATAGATAATAGGCGTTACGAATTTATTGAAAACATATTTATGTCAACTTTCCAAATTACCCTCAGCAAAGGTGCAAATTAAGCACATTTATATTTGCATGGATTAGACGTTTTACCACAATATTACCTTAAATATGTCGGTTTGTTTAGTCTTCATTTAGATAAAATTAGAGATAAGAAGTACTTCAGTTGTTGCTCTAGATATGTCAGTAAAATTTATTTTGAAATTCAGTGAAAGGAGTTTTACTACATCTTATCATTATTGGTAAAAGCCAAAGTTCTAACTATTGAGCAAAGATTACACACAAGATTACATGACATTGAGAACCATAGTTCAGATCAAATACTATTTACTTTATTTGGTTCAATCCTACAAACACTTAATCCAGATTCAGGTTAAGATTCTTTAATGATCATTAAACATACAGTGCAAGTGCAAAAGATCTTGTCATGAAACATGCGATAAAATACAAAGACCAAAAACAATACATGCAATTTTAGATCACTGTTGAATAAAATATTCAAGCAAAGGAAGACATTGTAAAAAGAAGTAATAACAATTAATTAACAAGATCTAAGGTGTTTGAAATGTTTCGTTACATACTTTTACATACAGAGGGTTTATTATTTCAGCGATTAAACGTTTATGTAAAACAATAATATTTTGTCGTTAATGATGTGTCTTTTTATGATAACAATTAAAATCGATTAACCACATTCAAGAATGGATCGGTGCCCTGGTAATAAAAATATATAATAGTGCCTCTTCCGTTAGGAAGCACTAATATTACTATCTTAGTATGAAACATATAAACTTGCCTAATTGTTTATCCTCCAAAGGATAGCTAGGGATAAAGAATAGGCCTACTGCATTTTAGCACTTGCTTTGTAAAAATTTGGTAAAACAGTAATTTTGTAATTTAATTATTTCCAAGCTCTACTCGATGACTATATTAAAATACCCCCACCAAACCTGCGTCCCATTTTCTTGATTGAATTTTAACACTTTACATTTATTCCCTACTAGCAGAGAACCCGTCCTTCGTACGGGGTTGGCATATAAGTATAAAATGCTTATTGCAGTTGTGGTTGAGGACATGGTTTAAGAAAGTTTGGTTCTTTTGTTCTACCAATGCCCCTGAACCATAGGAAAAAGTAATGGTCTCATTGTGTACCACAGCTTTTTGTTGCTAGTTGGTTCAAATTAGCTGTTGTCATAAATGCAAAAAAATAATTGTGCTACACCCTGTAGGTAAACCTTAAAACCTGTTAATGCTATTTAATATCATAGAACTAACTTGTGCAGGGTGAAATTCTTTAATTCCCTTTGGATGTATTTTTAAATAAATTCTTCGATCAGCATCGTACGTGTTATTAGATTTACGGAAAGTAAATGAAAGATACGTCTTATAACACTTACCACATATATTTATACTCATACTGTTACTCACAATACGGTAAATATACAAAAAAGATGGTAAGTGGTGATCGATTTCGATTGGACACTCCAATCATCATAGGCGGACCCAATATATTTACGTCTTGTGAGTAACAGTACAGTATAAGTGTAAATATATGTTTAAGTGTTATACGACGTATCTTTCATTTACTTTCCGGATATATTTTTATCAAACTTGGCAAATGTATTTGTTCTATACTAAGCTAATAGTATTTTCCTAAAATCACACTTCGTAACCCTCCCTGTAGCAGCATAACCTAGATAGTTAAACCTAATGTTATTGAATTCGATTTAATTGAAAATAGGCTGCAGGTGTGCTGCGGCGGGGGTTACATGGAATTGTAATTTATGTAGAAAGAAGACTTTGTGGTAGTACATGATTAACTCTAAGTTAAGATACTAAAAAAATCTATCCCGTCGGTCCCAATTAGTAGCGTCTGTCGCTTAAAAATTTGACTGGCGCTACTGCAACCAGCGTTACTATTCGTATTCGCTAGCTGCTATACCCGTGCCTTGCAACGGGGTCAGTATGCAAAAGAGTTATTGCTGGTTCTTTGAAAATGCCAAATGGTTTCACTCCCTACCATTTATTTTAGAAACGAAATTGAACTGTATTAGCCTACTTAACTTGATACTAGTAATAGGTCTAGTTAATAATAGGCCGATTTAGTTTTTTACGAAATATTAAATTAAAAATACAGTCTAAAATATGAAATAAGTGGAATAATATAATCACATTTTATCATGCTCAATTATTCATAGTATTTATAAATGCCTTTTTCACAATCTTGTCATTTAATGTAATTAAGCCATTGTAAATAAACAAGCATTACTGGCCCAGCAAAGAAATAAAAAAATAATCTACAACTGAAAACTTTGTAGCAATTAAACCCTTTTTAAAAAGCTGGGCAATAACTCGTGAATGTTATAGGACAGTTGACCTCGTACCAAGTTCCATAGTTTTCCGCCTATATTTGACATCGGGTTACCTAATTGACCAAACCGATAGACGCAATGTACAGTTTTGTGCTAGGCCTACAGAAAATTTTGTGTTTTGTTAAAGACCATAGGATTCCTATAATAAATCTACCCACGTAACGCATTAAAATTCAGCATGGACGTAAGACAAGACACAATAAAAACTTTGATGAAACACTTAGGTTACTGTAAGACATGGTTTTAGGCAGGAAGATATAGTTTCAAGGCCAATTTCGAGCTTCATAAGATATGTTTAATTATTGAGCTAGGGTTAAAAGTTATATACAAAACTACATTTAAAATAGGTCTGCATAAAACAACTACACCAAAACCAAACTATTAATTTGAAATTCTTGTTGAGCTCACGTTAATTACTAAAATATTATTTATTTGTTTTACCTATAAATCACCACTAAACAAAGTTCGAAGGCCAAAGTTTTCTTAATCTTTTGAGCCAATTTAGTGATGACCCGTTTTCATTCTTTATTTGCCTAACAAACATTTTCATACTCATTAAGGGTATTATATGCTCAACGGTTTTTACCCGAATGACCTTTCCTTTTGTACTGCATTTACTAATATGATATTGTACTGAAATGGTTTGTCATAAGCATATGTTCAAATTTGTGTGTGTCCATTTCGTATAACTGTAATGGCTACTTGGCAATCCGTAAGACCCAAGGTAAATAAAAAAAATGTTATTAAACTTTTAACATAAAACATATTCTCCCATAGCAGAGCGTAGCATTGATATAGTTTTAATCCTAAAACGAAGATTTTTTAGGAGTTTAAAGGAAATAGCTGGAGAATATTGTGAAATCATTGTGCGCGCAAATCTTACTGGTAGTATATGATTAGGCTTAGAGTAGTCCCCTTTCAGTTGCTGCTACAGGGAGGGCATTAAAGTTTGTTTTTAGTTTTTATTGGGTGAGTATAAAACAAGTATATGTATAAAGTTAGATAAAAATATATGTGTCCATATCGGTGTAGCTTTGATGAATGTATGCATTATCTACCTTCGTACAAAATACAGTATGTCAATGAACAAACAAAAATTGGTCGACTGACATTTTATTCACACGGCGACCGTTAAACCCACTTATATTTGATATATTTTCAACTAATTTTTAAATACGTTTTTCGTCATCATCGAAATTTTTACGTATGCTAAGTCCGTTTTATTAAGCATTTTTTTTACTATAGGCATACATTTGCATTTGAAATAAACTGTTATCGCAAGGTAAAATATCCTACTACAGAAACAAATCATTTAAAATAGAAGTGATATACCAGTAAAACATAATATTACAGTAACTAACTAATACTTATTTAAAATAATGTGAAAGATTCAATGGGATTGATGCCATTTAACGATGTTACTTTAGAATCTATACCCTCCCAAACACTGAAACATTTTATTTACAGCACAAAAAAATTACAACAATATAACATACCAAGAAGTTATTTTAGTAATTTGCAGAAGTAAAACTGCATTTTAAAGTGTTATTTAACATGTGTTTCTTTTAAAAAGTCACATATTTTAAACCCTACAGTTAATGTTAACCCTACACATTGTTAATGTAAACCCTACAGTTAAACCCACATATTTTAAACTGTAACCCTACAGTTATGAAAACTTGTACTGGTAACACTCATGCGTATGTTATATTTGTTAAACATTCTACAGGAACTACACCCAGCCCAACAAATGTTGGCAAAAACTTTTCTAGACTAGTTTGTTTTCGGTTTCTCTCAATTCCAGAAACGTTTTCGATTCTATAATTTAACTATTGTGAATAATTTTAATGTAATCTTTACACAGTTCATAAATGACATTGCTTTGAAAGTCAACTTTTACAATAAATGGATCAAACATTTGCATACGGTACCATGTATATTGAAAATTATACAGTATAGCATGCGCTTATCATTATATCAGTTTCTGTATTGTTTCTAGGAGCAGCTAACGCAGGATGGGCAGCTGGAGAGTTCTGTTTGTCGGCGTCGCAGCCTTCTGTGTCTGCAGTGCCGCAGGAGGGGCCAACAATGACGTCGACAGCTACATCTACGGCATGAGCTACTCTCGAGACCAAATCTTGGCCTACCACGGAGAAACCAAGACCAGCGTTCCAGTTCAAACTGAGGGAAAGGTTGATGGCAACAAGAACTTCATCGTCATCACCAGAGAGAAGAAATCTGCTCAAAGTGGAACGTCTGACATCGGAGTAGTGTCTGCCAACGAACACAGAACCTACCCTGGATCCTTGCTGCTGGCCAACCAGAGACTCATGGACAACAACCCAGATGTCTTGGCAGTTGCCCGTGCTCCCTTGACCTACACGGTAAATCTGCCAGGATTGACCACAGACGGCCACTTCTCCATTGACCCTACCTTCGCTAACTACCAATCCTCAAAGGAGAAAACCCTAAAAGCATGGTTTGATAAGTATTCGAAGGACCACAACGTTGTCGCTAACTTCCAGAATGACTTTACCTTTGCCTACAGCCAGGAATACTTGCGAGTCAAATTTGGTATGGAGTTCAAGAACACCCAAGTTGAAGCCAGCATTGATTTCAGTGCGATGCAGAACCAAGAAAAACTCATCATGATTCATAAATTTAAACAGATTTACTACACCGTCAGTGTGGAACCTCAAAAGAAACCCTCAGACCTGTTTGCCTCTTCAGTGACCGCCACAGAACTTAAACAGAAGACCAACAGCAGCAGCCCCCCAGTGATTGTTGATAGCGTGGCTTACGGAAGGACCATTTACGTCAAGTTGGAGACATCCTCTACTGACAAGGAGGCCAAGGCTACTCTCGCTACTAAAGCCTCGAATTTCGATATCAAGGCGGAAGCTGAAACTGAAATCAAGAGCAAGCTGAAGGACCTTAAAATGCAAGTGTTTGTCCTTGGAGGAAGCACTGAGCACATTGAGCTGATTAACGCACAGACCTTCAAGGATGTCAACAATGTTCTGGTAAAATACGCAAAATTCTCCAAAGACAATTTGGGATTTCCTATTTCCTACTCGGCCAACTTTATCAAGGACAACTCCAGAGCTGTCGTCCAGATGAGCACAGACTACATTGAAACTACCAGAACTGTAAACTCCAAGGGAGTTCTCAGGATCACCCACAAGGGAGGATTCGTAATGCAGTGGGCCATAACATGGAAGGAGGTGAACTACGACAAGAATGGAAACAAGGTGTCAACTGAGGTCAGCTGGGACAAGAACTGGAAGTCTTTGACTGCTCCTTTCAGCCAGGACATTGAACTCCCAGGAAATGCTCAAGACATCAACGTCTTCGCCAGGGAAGCCACCGGCCTGGCCTGGGAGTGGTGGCGCACAGTCATTGACAAGAAGGGCATCCCTCTAGTCGGAGAAAGAACAATCACAGTCTGGGGCACAACTCTCCATCCTGAGCATTCTATTTCTCCCAGTGCTTAAAATACGGTTTAGGACTGACACTTTTTTGACATGGTAATTGATTTTGAACTTTTGTGATATTTATGTTTGATAACTTTTAAAATACTCTGACCAAAAATAAAATTATAGAATGTGTATTGTCTCTGAAATTAATATGAATAGACTTGTTAATGTAAGATACTAAATGTTTTTGTATTGTTTAAATGTCATTTGACTGAATTTTTAATAATAAAAACAGAATTTTATCACATTTTGTGTTCTTTTTTTGGCGTATGCAAATTTATCATAATGTATAATTCAATGATAACTGCATCAAAACAAATTTGAACATGCATTAGCCACCCATAATTTTTCAAACATTGTGATAGTTTATTTGAAGTTGTTGGAACATTCAAAGATAAGAATAGTAGGTAGAGTACGATTGGATTTGTTCAAGAAATTTAGGTTTGAGAATGAATATACTCTAAGTATCCAATTTCAAACCATCTTGCAATGGTAAACAAACAAAGGCAATGAATCAATGAATTAATGCTAATGAGTCAATAAACAAGTTTAAGTGTGTATGTAATCTATTCTTAGTAAATTTTTCCTTAGATGTTGACACACTTTTAACGTTTTGAAAGAATCTTAAATCTCGTAGTCTTCTGAAATATTTGGTGGCAACATTTTTTATAAAACAAGACTGAAAATATAATGTCGTAAGTAATAGTATTTCTTACACTATTTAATTATTAAACTCAGTGTTTAAATTTCTCATACAATCTGTAAGGTTCTAAATATTATAATCTTAAAGTATAACTCATTTTAATCAGACTCTTAAATAGTTATTTTTATCGTTTGATTAAAATTATTCTGCATGGTTTTTTTCTTCTTATAGGGAAATAAGGAACAAGACTTCGTGATTGCTATATTTTAAAATGTTAAAACTTTAAAATTTTAAAACTCTGGGTTAAAATGTTAGTAAACAACTGTCACAACACAGTGATTGAATGTCTGGTGAGTAAGTTAAACACAGGAAGCCTAGCTTTTGACATATCAAACAAATACTAAACTTCAATGATGTAGTTAAATCAGTTTTCCATGTCTTGTTTGCAGTTTAAACTTCAGTGTGACTTATTGACTTTAGATACACGTTAAAATGTTCATTAAAAAACCAGACAATATTTTTTTGAAATAGCACATATAAAATATTTTTCTAAAATGAGAACGTTTTGTAATTTGTCTGAGTCTGAGACAGTTTGCAAATTTTGTATAGAATAATAATTTCAAACACATAAATTTTTACTTAACAAAATGAAAAATAAATGCGCGTTTTGTGTCGTGCGCTTAGAAATTATAAAGTTTATTTCCTTGTATTATAGTTTGAAGCAATTATAACACATCTTATCACTTAGGCCATTAAACTAATACAGTAGGTTCTTTTTATGATGAGCTCTTAAGTGACCTCAGAAAACAATTGTAGTCAAACACATTCAAGTTATGAAAATCAAATAAAGTGTAAACTAAAACCATTGACTACCCATGATTACTGTGATAAAATTATTAAAAATGGCAAAATAGTGTATTCATGCCAAAAATATTTAATCCTACATACTTAGGTCATTCCTCCGAATGAATTAATTTTCATTCCTTAATACAAACATCATTTACGAAATTTTAACAAGCTCTAAAGATAGTTTTAAAGATTTTTTACTAAGCGTCGACGTTTGGCTTAGTTCTTGGAAGCTTTCTTAGCGAAGCAAATGAAGTTCTTATACTACACTCCTGCTTTTGTTTTACAAATACTCCTCCTGAACGGCTGAAGCGATCTGCACAAAATTTAGAACAGACATAGTAACCAACCATGGGAAAGTATAAATCTGAAATGGTAAAAATAAGACCACACGGCTTTTCCCTACGTGAATTTAAACTTTAAATGTAAAATTTCTCTTAGTAGCGATTAATTAATCCATAAGGCCCATGTTAAACCGCATGATATTATTTGCGAGATAACAATAAAAAGGCAAACTAGAGTCGCAACATGTGTTAATCAACGAATCCTCTAAAATAGCATATAACAAATACCGTACAGAGAAAAAGGTAAGAACAATCAGATTAATACTATTGAGCATAATTTACTACTAATTAGGCTGATGCACCATTGACTTTAAATACTCCAAATAGCTATTCTACTTATGTGATCCAAATCCAAATATATGCCTACCGAGTTTGGATATTGCAAATAAGCACTCTATTTATGTGAATCAAATGAACCATTAACTTACGATACTGCAAGTAGACAATTCATTTACGTGAACCAAATGTACCATTGAGTTTGGATAATGCAAGTAAACAATTAATTTATGTCAACGGTAACCAAATGTGCCATTGAGTTTGGATACAGCATGTAAACAATTTGTTTACGTGAATCTGGCGTATTTTTGACCTAGTAATACTATGCAAATAGACATTCCATTTAATTGAACCAAATGTAAGCCTAACTTGGACTTTGGATACTGCAAATAGACCAAAAATCCCCCCCCCCCCAACATCCAAATTGGTTTGATATTTATGTAAACCAAATCTATCATTGAAATTGGATATTGCAAGTAGTCATTTAATTTATGAGAATCAGATGTAACGTAGATTTTGGTTTATACTAGTAGACAATTTATTTACGTTATCCAGACTCCCAGACTTATAAGTGACTTAGGATACTGCAAGTATATATCTCATTTGCGAAAGCAGATGTAGCATTGACTTTAGAAAAGTATTGGATTAATATAGGTGCTTCGCTCTATACTGCAAGCAGACTACTGCATTGTTCACCTAGTGTAAAAGTAGGGTTTTATAGAAATGTAAAAATCTATAGTTTTTGCCTTTTTAATGTTCGTGGTAACTTTTATTCGTTTAACGACCTGGTGGGTGCGTTTTGAAACTTAGTATAGTAATAATATCTATTATAATTTACTAGTTTAAGCTAATATCACTTTCTTATCCCTTAAGGGGAATGGCGCACGAGGAGACAGACATAATTCTTAAACAGCAAAATAGGTCGAGTTTGGTATTAGCTGAAAGGTCGTGTATAAGTTATCAGAACACCTTAGGTACCGAGAATCCGAACTCAAACGGACAACCGAGTCAAACATGACAGCTGTTTAATGACTATTATTTTTTTTTTTGCAATACTATTATATAGACTACGCTATCTCCTCAAGGGAGCGCTTGCTAAAAGTCGGTAGAAATCATAATCGTAGGTCGATATGCACATCAAATCAAAGATTGGTAGAATAAATGCTGCAAATTTGAGCTATGATACAGATTTCGACCATCGAACTATTTCGACCCATGCTGTCGATAGCAGAGTTTTGTCGGACTTCTCGTAGGCCGTCCTTCATAGGGGATAAAAATAATAGCTTAAAAGAGTAGACAATTATTGGTATTATTGATAAACCAAGTCTTTCTGCTTTACCTTTGATTCTAAAAAATATATTTCACCGGGCCTTTCAAATACACTTTATGTTTGTGCTTACGTAATATGTTGAAAATACCCTTTAAACCATCAGTTAATAATAATTTGAATTTTGGTTTAAAAACACGGTGGGAGAGAAAGTACCTCATCCACAAAACATTATTTTGCACTTTCACTGGACTTAAAAACGTCATTGAAAACATAATCGTTCACTAAAAACGATGCGACTTAAATTCGTAATTTAAGTTCCTTAGTTTAGTTATGACTGTTCTCATACAGATACTATTCATAGTCTATTTACACAAAACTATGATTGTTAAATCATTAAATTCTATGACAGTACCTAGCCAATCGTTTAAATTAACGTTCAATACTTTGTTTGAAGTTCGAATGGTGATTAAGTTGTTATTATATAAGAATCGGAAGAACAGATAATTGGCTTCAATACAAAATATTTATGTATATATGTAAAGTGAATAAAAAAATAAACTCATTCCACTTTTAAATTGATATTAAATGTGTTAGACACAATCAAATGTAGTTTAGATTACTAATCAATAATCATCTTGTTAAATAATTGGCGTAAAGTCGTATAAGTGATTCCTGAGTCATGATAAAAGTATATTAAGGATAGGACAACGTTTCTCATAAGTATGACATAATTTAATCCACCTCAGGGAATCAATTTTGATATAGTGTTACTACAAAATATTATACGGTTAATAAAAAATAATGTTATACTCGTATGCCAGTAGTCCGTATGATTTCTGGAAGGAGACAATTAAACCGTAGCCTTGTAACAATTCTATTACGCAAGGATTCACAAAATAAGGAAATACCTATTGTTTGTCTGCATAACTTTTTATCCGACAATATCATTTAGCAGAAAACAGGAGTCTATATACAGTATAAGTAGTTACTTCAACCGAACCAACAATTAATTTGGTTAACAATTTATTTATTTAGTCACGTAAACATTGTCTAACTGGATATTATAATGAAATTCACATAATAACTCACCCCAAATAATACATTAAAAGTAAGTTTGGTTTTTTACTTTTGTAGTTTATACATAGAAAGCTTATATGAAAGAATTGAATGGCGTAGAAATGCGTATATCAAATTAACACTACGATTGTTAATTACTGTAGAACTAAATTGAAACAATTTGAAGCCTTAAAGGTGCATAATATTTCCTCTTTAAATGATTTACAAACGTCTAAGACTAGTGCTTGCTGCGAAATGGAATCTGGAATTTCCCTTCTTCGGCTAGCTTTGTATAATCATGTTAGAGTTTAGGTTCGATTCACCTGAGAACAGGATAAGATGCAACAATTTAAGGTTTGAAGACATTTTTTGTATTATTCGTTATTGAGCTTTTTTGCAATAACCCCATTATGGATTGGATTCACAAATACCTATAATAAACAAGTTAAAAAAAATCGTCAGTTTGAAGTATGATTTAAACAAGCGATTTCCTCAAGCTTCCCTCACAAACTGCTTGTAATGTTAACTAACCATCCATCAATTTGCTCCATCAAAAGTTTTATACTACGGAAATGAATAACCATTGAACCGATAATTTGACAACATCCTCAAGATATGTTACACGTCGATGTCAAAACACAAACCACTGGATTTTTTTATTAATAACTATAGTATTATATCTGTTAAATGTTAAGTAATTCAACCAAAGACATTTAATCAAATATTTATTTAATAACATGAACAATAATACAGTAAAATATAAACAATTAATCAAGTAGTATTAAAATTGAAGTCAAGTTTTTAGTCATGCAAAATGTTTACTGAATTTATTCAGTTATTGAAAGGATACAACAGCTGATATGATGACATCACTGTCCAAAGTTCACTACTGCACTTCCTACTACTCAGTTCAGTTTAGACTCACCTCTCTCACAGTACACAGTGCTTACCATTTGGTTTAGTTCATATTAAATATTTTAATCCCTATCTTTCTCTCTCTCTTACAGCTGCAAGTGCATTATTTCTCATTTAGATACTGATTCCAAATTTATAGTACCAAGTGTCAAGCTAGGATCCTAGAAGATATTTTTATTTTATTTAAAGTAAATGTGTTGTAAATTTTCGTGTACAGTCCAGAATATTCATGAGTAGTGAATTGCTTTCTTTTTATTAATGAAGAAGAGTTTTAATTTAAATCAGTGAAGAATGACATACTACACAACAATAGTCATTTTTCAACATCATCTTTCATCTGTGGTCCTTCGATTTTCATCACTCTGGCCAGAGCAATCGCTTCTCTGCTCATCTTGTTCCTGTTCTACCAAAACTGAATAGATCTTCAGCTTTAGGATCTAAAGCTATTTCTTATAATTTTACCTCTTAATACCATATTTAACAATATCCCACGCTGTTTTAAATTAGTGGTTACGAATGGCAAGTTTCAACTTCACAACCTACATTGTTCAGTTCCATATTCAATTCCAGCAAGTTAAAATAAAAAAGTATTTAAGAATAAATAAACTGTCTACATAATTGTATAAGCCAATTCGATTATGTTATTGGAACTTGTTCTATGTACACTGCTTGAGATAACGTTTCTGTATGGTGAACTACTTGTTTCTGACGACCAAAAAAATAATAAGACGACGAATCAGAGATGTACTAAAAAATATATATAAACCTTACTAACTTCTATATTACTTCTATATTCTATTAACTTCTATATTCGTAGTATATCCTTGGCATTAGAATACCCAACAGTCAGTGTTAAATAACCGTACTAGTTTTTACTGTTTCCTCATCTCATTGGGTAGCAAGCAACTTAACGAATTAATAATGAACTAGTGTTCCTGTTGCTCGAATTCGAGCAATTGCTAAGTATTACAGGCGTTATTTTAAAACGAATATCAGTCATTATTGATGATGGCTTTAAAAGATTCGACTCAAAGATTTTGGAAATACTCATGATGTACATAACAGATCGATACAATCACAGTTTCTTGTAAATATCTTATCATTTTACAAAAGCTGATCTTGTTTTTTTTGTGTTTTCTACAAATAGCCTTAGTCATAGCCGCATTAGGTTGTCCATAATAACGATAAAAAAAAAAAAAAACATAATTTCTATTGCTTCTCCTTGGTGGTGTTCAATGACTTTCCATAGTTTGCAAATCGGCTTTTTCAGAACTTTACAAAAATATAAGAAAACCCTCTCTCCCTTTTTCCATTGTAATATTTACGAAATACAAATAGTAAATATTTCATTTAAACCAAGTCAGTAAATGTTTGTACCAAACTGTTAAATTAGCAAACCTATTGACTGTTTACATTACAATTAACATATGTTCTTCTTCACACTTTTAATTTCTGACAACAGTTGGAGTTTCATAACAATTTTGGTTCCCATGTGAATCTTATGGAGAAATACGAAACTTTAAAGGGCCCCAGGGCCTCACTTTCCAAATATTTTCCTAAAAAGAAAGTTTCCTGCACAACTCCACGTTACGTTCTTTCCAATGACACAAAAAAAAAAAAAACATGTCAATCGGTTCAGTAGTTTCGGAGGAGTAATCGTCACAAAAGATCTGCTTGCGTATGAAATAAGTATAGATTAGGATGTTAAACATATGTTTTATTTTAAGGTTTACTGTCCAATACTATTACAAGCTGGTGCAATTTTTTAATGAATTGTCTAGATTTCAATTTCACTTGTTTGGTCCAACTCCCCTCCTCTTTATTTGGTTATCAAACAATTTTAACAGCTGTTTTGCAGAGATGTTGAGTCTTCGGTGGACTTTGGAACACCCCTACCCCGCGTTGCCCTTTATAAGCGGACCAGACAGCCTAGCAGGACGTCAGTTATAGTCTATAGCTTAGAGTGCCTCAGACTACTATAAGAACTACTAACCGATTGGTAAGTCATTTGCCATGCTTTTATGTACTTTTATTTTATGCATAATTCGGGTCACATACCTACCTTTATTGGTGCATTGGTGTTCCCCATTCAGCCTCAACGGCCTAGTCTCCGCTATGAGTCATCAACTTGGCTCACATGTTCTCGGGATTTTAAAAATATGTGACCACAAAATGGGGAGCTATTTTTCAGACACCCTTCGAGACTTTTGGGTTGACCGGTAATGAACGATTATGCCCTTGACCGGAAAATGGACAAAATGGACACAACTCTTCTCGAACTGGGCCATTGTACAAGGACGTTACAACAATTGATATCAAACCAAGTTGCATAGTTTATATCTCTATAGTTGACATCGGGTTACCTCTGTCAAATTATTGATCAAGCCGATAGTCGCATAGTACAGTTTTGTGCTAAGCTTACAGAAAACATATTTTTATTCGAAACCATTTTATTCCAATGATACGTCTAAACATGTAACACATATAAATGCAGTATGAACTTAAGACAAGACAAAACTGTCATAACAACTTTTTTATAAACCTTGATACTCTAATACTTGATTTTAGGCTGGATGATATAGTTTCAAATGCCAAATTTAAGGGTTTAAGGGACTTCAAAAAGACCATAGCTGTCATTGTATTCTCTATGTGTCTTGATTCAAACAAGTGTCAAAAGATTGTATTATACAAAAATACATTTAAAATAAGTCTGAATAAAACAACTAAATCAAAACAAAAATTATTAATTTGAAATTCTTGTTGACATTAACTACTAACTTTCAGCGAAAAACCAATTCTCCCACAACAGACCGTAGCACAAATATAGTTTTTATTCAAAAACTAAGATATTTTTAGGAGTAAAGAAAATAGTTGGAGCATTTTTTTTTAATCATTGTGCGCGCAAATTTTACTTGTATTGTTGTATATGATTAGGTTTAGAGTAGCCTACTTAAGTTTACGCTTTAGGGAGAGTAATTAAGTGTGTTTTAGCTGTTAATGGCCTAGTATAAAACAAATACATTTATAAAATTATACAAAAATATTTGTATCCATATCGGTAGCTTTGATGAATGTATTATTTTTATACCTTCGTACAAAATACAGTATGTCAATAAACAAACAAAAAGTGTTCGACTGACCTTTTAGTCTCACGGTGATCATTAAACGTGGTTATATTTTCACAACATTTATTCAATTTGTTAAATACGTTGTTCATCATCATGAAAATTTTAATGGAATTCCGTTTATGTGGTGTTTATGGATTTCATTATTTTTACTATAGCCATATACATTTGTATTTTAAATAAACTGCTATTGCAAGATAAAATATCCTACTACAGAAACAAATCATTCAATAATAGAAGTGATGTGTCAGTAAAACTTAACAGTACAGTAACTAAATAATACTTATTAAAAAAAATTGAAAGATTCAATGGGATTGAAGCCCTCCCAAATACTGAAACATTCGATTTACAGCGCAAAAAGGTTACGACAAGTTAACATACCAAAAAGTTCTTTTGATAAATTGCTTCGTTAAAACCCCACTTTAAACTGTTATTTAACATGTGTTTATTTTAAAAAGTCACAGTTATGAAAACTTGTACTGGTTACACTCATTTGTATGTTATATTTTTTTTTGCAAAAAACTTTGTCCAGTCTAGTTTGTTTTGGTTTTCTCTCATTCCAGGAGGTTTTCGATTCTATAGCTTAATACCATTTCATTGAAAAGTATTAAAAAAGTCAATGTATAAATAAACAATTGTGAATAATTTTAATATAATCATTTAACAGTTCATAAATGACATTGCTTTGAAAGTCGAAATTGCATTATATCGCTTTCCGTATTATTTGTAGGAGCAGCTAACGCAGGATGGACAGCTGGAAAGTTCCGTTTGTCGGCTACGCAACCTTTTGTGTCTACATTGTCGCAGGAAGTGCCAACAATGACGTCGACAGCTACATTTACGGCATGAGCTACTCCCCATACCAAATCCTAGCCTACCATGGAGAAACCAATACCAGCGTTCCAGTACAAACAGCGGGAAAGGTCGACGGCAACAAGAACTTCATCGTCATCACCAGAGATAAGGAATCTGTTTATAGTCGAAAGTCTGAATTCGGAGTAGTCAACGAACACAGCATCTACCCTGGATCCTTGCTGCTGGCCAACCAGAGATTCATCGACAACAACCCAGATGTCTTGGCAGTTGCCCGTGCTCCCTTGACTTACGTCATAGATCTGCCAGGGATGACCACAGACGGCCACTTCTCCATTGACCCAACCTTCGCCAACTACCAATTCTCAAAGGAGAAAGCCTTAAAGACATGGTTTGATAAGTACTCGAAGGAGAATGACATTGCTGGCGACTTCCATTATGTCTCTGCCTTTGCTTACAGCCAGGAATACTTGAGAGTCATATTCGGTATGGAGTTCAAGAACACCCAAGTTGAAGCCAGTATTGATTTCAGTGCGATGCAGAAATACGAAAAACTTATCATGGTCCAAAAGTTTAAACAAATTTACTACACCACCTGGGTGCACCTTCAAACGAAACCTTCAGACCTTTTTTCCTCTTCAGTGACCGCCGCAGAACTTAAAAAGAAGACCAACAGCAGCAGCCCACCAGTTCTTGTTGAAAGAGTATCTTACGGAAGGGCGGCCTACGTCAAGCTGGAGACATCCTCCACTGACAAGGAGGCCAAGGCTATTCTTGCTACTAAAGCATCAAATTGGTTTATCAATTCGGAAGCTGAAATTGAAATCAAGCTGAAGGACCTTAAAATGCAAGTGTTTGTTCTTGGAGGAAGCACTGAGACTATTGAGGTGATCAACGCACAGACCTTCAAGGATGTCCACAATGTTCTAGTAAAAAAATTCTCTAAAGACAATTCGGGATTTCCTATCCGCTACTCGGCCAACTTCATCAAGGACAACATCAGAACTGTCGTCCCGATGAGCACAGACTACATTAAGACTACTACAACTGTATACTCTAAGGGAGTTCTCAGGATCACCCACAAGGGAGGATTCGTAATGGAGTGGGCCATCACATGGAAGGAGGTGAACTACGACAAGAATGGAAACAAGGTGTCAACTGAGGTCAGCTGGGACAAGAACTGGAAGTCTTTGGCTGCTCCTTTCAGCCAGGACATTGAACTCCCAGGAAATGCTCAAGACATCAACGTGTTCGCCAGGGTAGCCACCGGCCTAGCCTGGGAGTGGTGGCGCACAGTCATTGACATGAAAGGCATCCCTCTAATCGGAGAAAGATCAATCACAGTCTGGGGCACAACTCTCCATCCTGAGCATTCTATTTCTCCCAGTGCTTAAGATACGGTTTAGGACTGACACTTTATTGACATGGTAACTGATTTTGAACTTTTGTGATATTTATGTTTGTTAACTTTTAAAATATTCTGACCAAAAATAAAATTATAGAATGTGTATTGTCTCTGAAAATAATATGAATGGACTTGTTAATGTAAGATACTAAAAGTTTTTGTATTGTTTAGATGTCACTTGACTGAATTTTTAATAATAAAAGCAGAATTTTATCACATTTTGTGTTCTTTTTTTGGTGTATGCAAATTTATCATAATTTATAATTCAATAATAACTAATTAAAAACAAATTTGAACATGCATTAGCTACCCATAATTTTAAAACATTGTGGTAATTTATATGAAGTTGTTGGAACATTCAAAGATAAGAATAGAAGGTAGAGTACGCTTGAGTTTGTTCAAGAAATTTGGGTTTGAGAATGAATATACTCTAAGTATCCTATTTCAAACCACCTTGCAATGGTAAAAAAAAACAAAGGCAATGAATTAATGATAATGAGTGACTAAACAAGTTTAAGTGTAAGTAAATTTTTCCTTAGATGTTGACACACTTTAAACGTTTTAAAAGAATCTTAAATCTCGTAATCCTCAAAAATATTTGGTGGGAACATTTTTTATAAAACAAGGCAGAAAATATAAAGTCGTAAGTAATAGTATGGGTTAAACCTTGGAATACATGTGAGATGGCATTATTTAATTTAGTGTTTAAATTTCTCATAAAATCTGTAAGGTTCCAAATATTATAATCTTAAAGTATAACTCATTTTAATCAGACTCTTGAATAGTTATTTTTATCGTTTGATTAATTAATCTGCATGGATTTCTTCTTCTTATAGGGAAATAGGAAACAAGACTTCGTGATTGATATATTTTTCCCCAAAAATTGAACGCGATCACTTTTATATGCTGGAGTAAAATGTCAGTGAACTGTTACAATTCAGTGATTGAATGTTTGGTGAGTAAATTAAACACAGGAAGCCTAGCTTTTGACATATCAAACAAATACTTCAATGATGTAGTTAAATCAGTTTTCCATGTCTTGTTTGCAGTTTAAACTTCAGAGTGACTTATTGACTTTAGAGACACGTTAAAATGTTCATTAAAAAACCAGAAAATATTTTTTTTGAAATAGCACACATAAAATATTTTTCTAAAATAAGAACGTTTTGCAATTTGTCTGAGACAGTTTGCATTTTTTTGTATAGAATAATAATTTCAAACACATAAAATTTTACTTAACAAAATGAAAAATAAATGCGCGTTTCGTGTCGTGCGCTTAGAAATTATAAAGTTTATTTTCTTTTATTATAGTTTGAAGCAATTATAACACATCTTATCACTTAGGCCATTAAACTAATACAGTATTTTTATGATGAGCTCTTAAGTGACCTCAGAAAAGAATTTTAGTCAAACACATTCAAGTTATGAAAATCTAATAAAGTGTAAACTAAAACCATTGACTATCTAAAAACCATGATTACTGTTATAAAATTAACAAAAATGGCAAAATAGTGTTTTGATGCCAAAAATATTTAATCCTACATACTTAGGTAATTCCTCCAAGTTAATTAATTTCCATTTCTTAATACAAACATCATTTACGAAAATTTAACAAGCTCAAAAGATAGTTTTAAAGATGTTTTACTAAGTGTCGACGTTTGGCTTAGTTCTTGGAAGCTTTCTTACTACGGAATCCTTACTTTTTACAAAGTAAGAATAAAAGCTCTAATTCAAGAAGGAAAACTTACATTTGCCTAAATTTTAAACCGTCATACAAGTAACTAGTTACTATGAGGCAAGAATTAATAGCTACTGCAACTACTTTTAAAATCCGACTTAGTCCAACATCGCTAAGTTTTATGTTTCTTGTAGTAATTTTTTTTTTAATTGAAGATTATTATGGAATTCGAATGAAATATTTAAAATACTATTTTAAAAGTGTCATTAAGTTTTTATTTATATTTTGCACAAAGATATTGGCTAGAAAGATAAACCTTTTTTCAGATTTTAAATGCTCTGGGTGTTTAATGTTTTTTTTTTATCTACATATAGACAGACACCAAAAGGTTTGCGCCAGGACGCATGTCGTATAACATTTGTTGATGTTTTTATCTTCAGAATAATCTGGTAGAATTGTTTTGATGAAGCTGGTCACCCTGTATAATGATTACAACATAATTGTTACTGATAATTATTATTTGTGATACAATGTCAGTGGTAATTGTGATTCATTGCAAAGAACCCGTTATAGCACAGTCTTGTAACAGTTCTATCATCAACAATTTCACAAAGTATGCATACCGTTTGTTTGTCTGCACTCGTCATGTGGTTTTATCAAACCAGATCGTTCAACAGATATCAGGAGCTGATTTAAAAGTAGCCTACAACAATCAATAATTAATTTAATTAGCAGTTTCTACATTTTATCGTGTGAACCTAGTCTCACTAGATATTTTATTTTAGATTCACATAAGGCAACCCAAACAAGACATTATAAGACGTTTTTATAATTCAATGTGTAGCATTTTCGTAACAATCTTACTGTATATAAAAATTAGATTCACTACTCTTAGAAAATACCTTAAACAAAGAACACCAGTTTATGTTTGAAGTATAACTTACACAGGTCCCTTAAAGTGGTTGTAATACTAATTGACAGTCCATGAGTTTCCCCCTCTAAGAATCTTTTACTGACTCATATAAGGTTTGAATCCATCCCTATCAGTTAAAAGTACCCTCACAATATGTTACGCGTCGATATCAACACATAATACCATAGATTTTATAAAAGTTTTGATGAAAAAAGGTTTTTAAGTAATCCATACTAACATTATCATCGACGCATATTTTATAATAGTTATTATGAATGGCAAGTGTAAACTTTACAACTTATTTGTGCCTAGTTTATTATACAGAAAAAAAAATTGAATACATAAATGTATAAGAATAATTAAATCACCTTCAAATTGTATAGTCATTCGATCACGTTATTGGAACTTAGTTAGTTGTGCTATGTTATCCATCGAAAGTCTGTACGGTGAGAACGAAAAAACTACTAAAATGACACATTTCAAGTTACACACATATCATAAACTTAACCAACTTATGTGCATATATCCTTTTTCTTAGAATACTCAACAATCAGTGTTCAAATAGCCCTACTATTATTTTCTGTTATCTTATTAGGTAGCCAGTGGCTACCTAGGTAAAATTGTGTTAAGGATGGTCTAGATTTTATTTTCACATATTTCGTAAGGTCCAGCGCCCCACTCCCCTTTCCTTGGCCATCAAGCCATTGTAGACAGCTGTTTTAATGAGTTGTTTAGTCATCGGTGGTCATCCTATCCAGCGTTGCCAACCCCACCCATTACAAGCGTATCCCACAGCCTCTCAGTCAGTTCTAGTCTATCGTTTAGAGTGCCTCAGACTACTACAAGAACTACTAACCGACTGGTAAGTCATTTGCCATGCTTTTATGTTATTAATTATAATAATTGTTTATTACAACCTCCAAAGCTAGATTGCAATATCACAAAAAAAAAAAACAAAAAAATAATAAAATACCCCCGCCGCAGCAAACCTGCAGACTAAGCGAATTTCCATTTGACTGATTAGATTTACACTGAAATGTCTACTTAAAAATATAACATTTATTCTTTATTTAAATAGAATTAGTTTAACAAGTACCTACTTAGGTTTGCTGCATCAGGGAGGGTAAAACTGTTTTTTTTTGTTTTTTTTTGTAAAATGTGAATAGTTAGTAAGAAATAAAAACATTTTCCAAATTTGATCAAAATATGTTCACAAACAAGCAAACTACAACAGTTTACTTATTCTCCATAAGAATAACATGGGAATTTTAAATTTACAATTTTTGGAATTTTCTCCGTAACCATTAGGCGCATAATAACGCTTCAATATACTAAATTATTTGCTTTTTTAAGCTCTACAAAATGGTTTGGAAATAAATTGCAAAATTTTATGTTTTTTGGGTCAAAAATGGGAAAAACCTATTTTTACCCCATAAAACCCCCCGTAAACCCCCGTTCCCATGGTCCGATCATGCTGGATCGCGAACTCGTTCGAATAAACGTACGTTTACACGTTTGTACCAAATTTCATCAAAATCGGATCATTTTTGCTCGAGTTATCGTGCTGACGGACACATATATATATATATATATATATATAAATATATAAATATATAAATATATATATATATATATATATATATATATATATATGAATTTGAACGGATGGTGTTTTTGGCCTCTAGGGACCTCAAAACGAAAAAAAAAATCTGTCCCACGTCCAGGTCTTACCATGAGTACTACGGTAATAGCTTATTCCCTATGGGAAATTCGCTAAAAGAACACTATTACGGCTATTTCAAAGGAAATTATCCTACTAGCGGAACCACTAAAATCAGTTATTCATCATGTGTTTAATAAACACATCACAGTAATGAAACCATATAATACCAGTAACATTTATTTATATGTTCTACAACTACACCCAGTCAAACAAAATTTTGGCAAACACTTTGTCAGGTCTAGTTCGGTTAGTTTTTTTTTTATATTGTAGAAATTTTTCAATTCTATGTGCAAACCATTGTAAATAATTTTATTTTAATAATTTAACAGTTTAATAAATGACATTGCTTTGAAAGTCAAACCCTTAACAATTGATAATACAATTTACGATAAATGTGTTGCTTTGTTATTTATGTGCATTAACAACATAAATATATCATACATTTATCTGCTATTATATCGCTTTCTGCATTGTTTCTAGGAGCAGCTGACGCAGGATGGATAGCTGGAGAGTTCTGTTTGTCGGCGTTGCAGCCCTCTGTGTCTGCAGTGCCGCAGGAGGCACCAACAATGACTCCAAGGGTGTACTTAGGATCGTCAACGAGGGAAACTTCGTAATGCAGTGGGCCATCACTTGGAAGGAGGACTCCACTGAGGTCAGCTGGGACAAGAACTGGAAGGACTTTCCTGGTCCTTTCAGCCAGGACATTGAACTCCCAGGAAATGCTCAAGACATCAGCGTGTTCGCCAGGGTAGCCACCGGCGTGGTCTGGGAGTGGTGGCACACAGTCATTGACAAGAAGGGTATTCCTCTGGTGAAGGAGCGAACTTTTACAGTCAGTGGAACAACTCTCAATCCCAAGAGTGTTATATCTCCTAGCGTTTAGTTGGTTACCACGAATAGCAAAGTCAAATTTCTATTTCTCCCAGGGCTTGAGGTACGGCTTATAATGGTCTGACACTTTATTTGACATAGTAAATCTTACAAACTTGTGTGATAGTTATGTTTGGTACCTTTTAAAATGCTGTGACCGTAACTAAACTATTATTGTCCCTGAAAATAAGATGAATAAGTTTATTAATGTAAGAAACTAATTCTTTTTGTACTGTTTAAATGTCACTTGACTGAATTTTACAAAAATACAGAATTTTATAAAATTTTGTGTTTTTTTAGGTGCATGCTTTATAATTTACTGATAATTGTCAGTATCTGTGAAGTATCAGTTCTAATGTATAATTCACACACAAAAATTAACATTCATTACCTACAAATGATTTTTAAAAGTTTGTGCTCACTGCTCATTTATTTAAAGTTGTTGGAACATTCAAAGAGAAGAGTAGAAGGTAGAGTATGATTGGGTTTTTTCAAGATATTTTGGTTTCACGATTACTATACTGTTAGATTCCTATTTCAAACCCCCTTTGTAATGGTAAAAATACATAATTAGTTAATTCATGGCTAATAAGTCAATAAAACACGTTTAAGTGTACTGTAAAACATTCTCAGTTAAATTGTTGCAGACACACTTTAAACGTTTTAAGAGTCTTACATCTCGCAATATTGTGTGATTAGAAATTAGAAAGGTAATTTTCTTTTTGTAAAGTCCTTAGCAGTTAATAACTAATACATTAGTAAACTTCATTTTATGGTGATTTCTTAAGTGAACCAAAAACTTTGGTAATCAAACACCTACAAGTTATGAAAATCGAATAACGCGTAAACTAAAAACCCTGATCACGGCAATATAAGATGATTAAAAACAGCAAAACTGTATGTTTATACCTTTTCTATTTAAACCTACATGATTTATTCATTCCTCCGAATCTATTTTATTTTCATTTCTTAATTCAAACGCCATTAACAAAATTTCATCTAGCTCTAAAGATAATTTTAAAGAAGTTTTTATGGGTCAACGTTTCAGCTACGTTCTAGACAACAGTCTTAATCAAGTTCTCTAGAACGGGTTGCAGAAACTACAAATAAATGCCAGGTTTGTATTGATAACATACAATAAATATTTATTTGATGGTGTTTAGTGACCACGTAAGCCTTAATTTTTTAAAGAAAGGACAACAAAACTTCTAATTTAAGAAATAAAACCCTAATTGACTAAAATATAATCCTAAATACATATAACTATGTACTCTGAGGCTAGAATAGCTATTGATCGTTTTTTGAAATAAGTCTTTGACCGACAATTCATTTTGTCGAGGCTACAAAAATGAAACGCTGTATCCATTAATTATGTTCATACATACTCCCATTTCAACAGTTTCTCGTGTACATTGTCCTACACTACTAATCTAATGTGACGAAAGTTCATGATATTGGAATAATGCATTTTCACCCATTTAGCTTATCATCAATAAAATATGAAAGCCTTAAGGTAAAATATTTTCCGTCTTTTACACTGCCTTTTAATAAAGCTTAAGGGTTATGGTATGCATATTTTGTATATTCAAAAGTAAGTACAAGTGTACAGAATAAGGTGAGAAGACAAGTATGTTACAGTAAATTTTGCCACACGTTCCAGCCATAAAGCTATACGACCTAAGCCTCTACAAGAATAATAGGCTTCAAACAAATCTTTATAGTTGCAACTATTTTAACATGGTTTACTGGTTTAAATGTCAACATCAGGCATTACGTAGAATAAAAATACAAAAGCTTGTCTGCTTAATTGAGCCTTAAACAAAAAGCAAAAGGAGTAATAATTTATAGAAAAATCTATCATATTTTCAGTCTTCATCCATTTACATCTTATGAAGAATCGCCACATAGTACCAACTGTCTTGAGGTGTAAAGAAATTGTACATAGAAACGTGCGAGAAAGGACTAGGTATAAATAATAAAACTGTGATTGGAAGATTTTATTTTGAAGTTTGATCTTTCCATTAAAGAAACGCAACAACAATATTATCGTATAAAATTATTTATAATGGCCATGTAAGATAAGAAAACATCTGTAGAAGCATAAACTCGACAAAGTAAATGTAGCGAGTTAGCAGATTAACCAAAGTGACGTGTCCTGAGGCTAGACGTGACACTATTGCAAATGTTATCTCAAGTTGAATTATATTTTCTTAGGCAGAATTTTCTCCAATAACTGTTTCATAATTGTATCGTATTTGGCCAGCTGAACTGAGTCAAACAATATCAAATTTAAAAACTTAAAAATGTAAAAATTAAAATCAAATTCTCATCATCTGTGGTTTGATTTTAAGTCAACCAATTATAGAATAACTGATATTGCTAATCTAACAATGAAAAGGTTGTGTTATCAATAATGAGAAAATCGGTACTACATTTCAAATTATGATGTTATAGATTACTTAAAACTATCACTTTAACTACCAGTAACAAGCACGTTCTATCACAACATCCATGATGTAAGTTAATAGCTTAGCAAGATTATATTTGTGTATTAATAAAATAATTAATACCTGTAAAATACCCAAAATATTGTACGATCCAAATAAACTTTGTTCCAACTACTATAATTCTGCTTGCCATTATCTATCAAACTACTCTGTCGGTAAAGGTATTTATTTCAGTTCCATGGAAATTATTTAACTAAATTACATGTCACTCTTCAGCAGTATTATTCCCAAGTCCTCCAGAGATAGTCGGAAACTCAGAAGATCCTGGTATGAATAGGAAGGATTGATAAGAGAGTGGACAAATTAAATGGGATAGTTTCATTCTAAGCACAAGTCAATATTGCTAGATTTTTATGCATTTGATAACATATATGTGGGTTTGTCATGTAGTCTTTTCCAAACACATAAAACTGGTCTGCAAACCCACCTAAGCTACGAACAATCACTGATAACCGTACTCAGTACTTTTATAGAGTGCAGGTTGTCTGCAGGCTTGCAGAACAACATGTCTACTTGCGCGACCATACGGGAAATTCAACCACACCCATAGACTTAATACACTCCTTTTCATGTTTATTTGCATAAGCACTGTTAAATAAGCACCGTTCAAATAAACCGGTCATACTGGCTGCGATAAACAATACAATACAGGGTAAACTTAATGCTTTTTAAATACTGAATACATCAGACCTACGTAAAGAAATGTAGAAGAAAGAAAAATACAAGCAGGCAAATGAAAATTCGCTCAGTCAGCCGATTGACTGTGGTTGGGGTTGCGTAGCTTGGCCTTACTGTTGCTTGAATATGTGGCTGTCGTACAAACTGTGAGATGACCGTGTCACACAGGCCCACGCGTGTGTCAGACCGTACAAACGTGTGTCTCAGCCAGCGAGCACTAAAGACCAATTAGTGATAATATTATATTTTGGTCTTTAGTGCTCGCTGGTCTCAGCCTACGCGGCATTGTACTGTGCGTTCACTAGCATTTTAAAAGTAATGCCACTAGCTAGTCAAGAATTTTTGACGCGATCTCAGACAGTTAGGCATACTTTTACGATATTGTAGCATGTTTTATTACCAAGGTCAAACTAGATATGAAATTTATTTTGTGAGTTTAAACTAAGTGAATTTAGTTATTGTTTTTCTAATTACACAACTATGTTGCTTGAATTCGAACTCAAAGGTAATGTAACTAATGAAAAAACTCGTGATGTCCATACCAGTATGTTTACAGATTTCAATGGTTTTTTATAGTGACATCTGTTCACAATTCTTAAGAACTACCTTATAGATTGTATAACCTGAGCATAAACTGCCTGTAACAGTTTTATTTTCTTCAACTGGCATTCTTTTGGTTAGTTGCTGCTGTCAATTGAATTTACCCGAGAAAATGCAGAGTTAAAATGCTTCATGTTGTTTTAGATGGTTCTTTGTTTCCCTATATCTGTGAATAATATTTGCTACCTTCAATGGTTGTTTTAGTAAAGGTATCTTAGAAATAGTAAATCACTAAAATCACTTGACCTTTGTGGTAACATATATTCTATACCCTTGCCGTACCAGTTTTATTTAGCCTTATCACAAAGTTAAGTCCATGTTTCCCACTAACAATTGTGGCACTTCGGCTAACATCCTCCTTCATCGTTTGTAGGAATCATCAAATTCTTTTAATAGCATTAGGCCTATCTCTATTTCTTCTACTTGGCGGCGTTCTACGACTTTCCTATGTTACAATACTAGTTTACAAATCGGTTCTTTCAATAATTGCTCAAGTAATACAGTACTGTGTCAATTCATTCTTATTTGGTGAAATATATAAAATCGTCCAGGATTTCTCACTTTTTACCATTGTAATATCTACGCAAAATCAAATTAAATTAGTAAATATTTAGTTTAAACCAAGACAGTTAAGTTAAAAAAATAGCCAGTAAAGTTAAATGTTTGTAGCACCCGTTTACCTGAATTGCACCTTGAATATTAAAAACGATTACATTTTCCAGCTAATCATAATGTAAACAAATATTTGCTTCATAAGGATAACATGGGAACTTAAAAGCCATTAGGTCATAGCCCTAGGGACCTTTTCAAGTATTCAAGGTCAGTGTGCAAATCTACGTGACACGCTTTTTCCAATGAGACGTGAATGGTAAAAATCGGTTAAGAAATGGCGGAGGTGTTCAAAGGACAAATTTTGTGTTGGCGTATTAATTAGGCCTATAAAGATAAATAACCGGTATCGCTTGGAATAAGTTAAATTAGATATTGAGCTTTGCAACTAGAAAATTACAATTTGTATGCATCCAATTAAATTAGCAACGTACACAAATGGTATATGTTTAAACAAAGATCGATTTATAACTAGTTTGGATTGATAGTAAGGTATAGATTGATTAAACAAAATTGAATTTGGGGAAACCTACTTAAGTAAAGTTGTATTAATATAGTGCACCATAAAATTTTAAATTGCCCAGTAGTAGTTTTTCCCCCAAAAAAAAACATGTTAAGACAACGCAAACTACTTAGGGCATGCGGAAACCCCCTCTCTCACTTAAAAAGTTTTCGAGTTTAAAAAAGCTCGGAAAATACTAATGAAATTTAACCAGTATATTGATACTTCACTCTACTGGATGAACTATTTTACAATG